GAACTCATGTCAAGGAACCAAAGTCACCGGATATACAACATCGGCAAGCAGCCAAGCCTATTTCAAAAGGGAAGAGTCCATTGGCCACTTCCGGGCCAAGTCTTAGCCCCGCCTCATAATAAATAATCAATAGAAACTATGAATAATTAAAACTTTCTGATCCTGCCCACCACCTTCCTCCACCCCTAGATGAATATGTATAAGTATAAAATGTGATTTCTCACTCAAAGCAAGGAACTCAATCTGAGGTCTATACCTCTGAGTTCCCACTTGCTAGCCTGCAAAATAAAACTCTTTCTTCCTCTCAAGAACAGCATCGGAGAGATTGGCTTCTTGCACACTGGGCGCGGACCCACTGGTCCAGTTTCACAACTAAATGTCCTCAATTCCTCATCTCCCATTCACTCTTCCACCTGTAATAATCTGACTTCCACTAAGATCACCAGTATCTCCCTTATCTCACTCAGTAGTAAAAACTTCTCCCACCATCATTCAACACTGCTGACTACTCCCTCCTCCTGAAAACATTTCTGTTGGCTTGCATGGCACCACATTCAGCTGGTTTTCTTCTTTTCTCTCTGGCTGTTCCTTCTAAGACTTGTCATCATTCTTCTACACTCTCTCCAAGGGCAATAAAATCTGAAACTCTGGTGGCGTAGTGGTTAAGTGCTACAGCTGCTAACCAAAAGGTCAGCAGTTCAAATCCACCAGGTGCTCCTTGGAAACTCTATGGGGCAGTTCTACTCTCTCCTACAGGGTCGCTATGAGTTGGAATCGACTCAACGGTAACAGGATTACCCTGTGCAGAGGCATAACTAAGGTATGGCAGGTAGAGCACTTGCAGTTTCTATTGGCCATCACAGTTTCTTCGCCAGCTGTGAGAGATCATTCAGCAGTTTTAAACTCATTGCCACAGGTGCTATTTTCTGTAGATAGGCCCCTGGCCCTGCAACTTCAATTACCAAGCATACGCTAATAACACCAAATGTATATCTCCAGCCCAGGTTTTTCTCCTGAGCACTCAGACATCCCATAGCTACTTAAGCTGAACTTGTTTTCCCCTTACAAACCTCCCCTTACCCATCTCAGTGAATTGTACCTTCTCCTGGTCATTCATCCAAGTCAGAAATCCATTCATATCCCCAACTGCTCACTCTCCATCATCCCCCATATTCAATTATTCTACAAGAGTTTTCAAGCCATTATCCACTCCCGTGGGCATTATCACAACAGCTTTCTAACCAGTTTTTTGCCTTAGGTCTGCCATCTCCCTATCCATTCGTCACCCTGCAACAAGAGTTGCATCATAGAATTCCTCTCTCCAATGGCTCCTTTTTAATCTAAACTACTTAACTGACTAAAAATGTCCTTTTTTTTTTTTTAACTCTCAGCCTCATTTTTTATTGCTCCTCACCCTTCACTCTGTAATCCAGCCATATTGAACTTGTTTCAGTTATTCAAAGCGCTCCTCCTCTCCCTAGTTTTCTTTCTCTCTCACTTTCTCTCCCCCTTCCTTTTCCCTTCCCCTCCTGTAAATATGCAGCTACGAGCAGGCTCTGGAGTTTGACTAAACCAGTTGCTGTGGGGTCGATTCTGACTCATGGCAATCTCATGTGTTTCAGAGTAGAACTGTGCTCCGTAGTGTTTTCAATGGCTGTGATATCCGGAAGTAGATCACCAGGCCTTTCTTCTGAGGTGCCTCTGGGTGGATTCGAACTGCCAAGCTTTCAGTTAGTAGTTGAGCACTTAACCATTTGCGCCACCCAGGGACTCCTGGAGCCAGACTGCTGGGGTTCAAATCCCAGGTCTGTCATCTACCACCTCTGTGACTGTGGTTAAGTTAACAGCATTTCTTTGTCTCAGTTTCCTCACTTGTAAAATAAGGATGACAGTACCTACCTCCTTGAGTTATGACAGGAAAAAAAGATCCTTGTAAATCCCTTGGAACAGTGTTTAGTACATAAAAGACTCTTAATAGATGTAAGTTATTTTTCTCATTATCTAAATTATTCCTGTTTCAGAAGGTAGTTCAGAAATTCGTCAGGTATCCAGTACTCATACCAACAGAGGGAGCTGAGGCTCAGATAACTTAGCATTAGTTAAGATTGTCTTTAGAATATGTTTTTGTTATTCATTTGATATGCATCTGAGATCCCTCTTCAAAAAATATAATGAAGTACCAAATAAAGGAGGATCCAGGAAGGTATTTCTTTTCTCCATCCTGATCTTTACTCATTCCCATCTGCAACACATCACATGCTGAGAATAAACACAACAGTCTATCAACAGTCTCCCAGGCTGAACTAAGCAGAGTGGCACCTTGCCAAAGCAACTAGGGAGCAGGAATGTGCTTAGGTTTCAAAGGCCTTCTTTGTATAAAAACTACGAATAAACAGAGAATGTGCATAACATCAAAGTAAATGGCTTACCCAACAAGAAACCGGGTTTGTCCTATATAAACAATAATGATGATAACCAAAACAAAGATTATAAGAGAGGTTGACTGATTCTGTTTTATGTTTATTTACTAATATTGATGTTCCAACAAAGGAGCCCTGGTGGTGCAGTGGTTAAGCTCTTGGCTGCTAACTGAAAGTTCGATGGTTGAAACTCACCAGCTGCTCCATAGGAGAAAGATATGGCAGTGTGCTTGCATAAAGATTACAGCTTTGGACACCCTATGGGGCAGTTTTACTCTGTCCTATAGGGTCACTGTGAGTCGGAATCAACTTGACGGCAACAGGTATATTTTCCAACAAGCCAAAAGTCACCTTCCACACAGTAGCAACCACCTCATAGAGACCCAAATAGCCAGTGGGCCCAAGGTCAACATATTTGAACTATCGAGGACGCTCACTGCCTCCATATCCACATCGGGATTTAACACTACATGATTGACTCACCCGCCTGTTGCTTTTACCTCACCTCCCTCAAGCTCAAGCCTCAAAACATCTCTATTCTTCACTCAGTAACAGGCTATAATTTCCCTCTACTTCTGGCAAACACCTTTGAAGTCAGTGATTGGAAAGACATTTCAGATGTCAATCCAGAATTCAAGCCATGCTGAGGAAAACGAATGTCGGGATCACGCTGTTACTAAATTATTCCTCTTCTTTACAAGCTGCAGCCTTCCAGCATGCCTACCTTCCAACTAAGTCAGAAATTCTCTTCCTTATTATTTTCTCTGCTCTGTAACTTTCTAAACTTGACCAGAAAAATACATGAAATTCTCCCCTTTCTAATTATGAAAGAATTAGCAGTACATCCTCCTAGAAATAGAGAGAGAAAAAAATTCTCTATATGTGCCTATTTCATATTCTCCCTTTGGCCAAAGGTTAAATTACGATACCAATTGTTTCCCACGTGGAATTTACAGTTGAAAAAGAAATTAAACACAATATAGTGCGAGAGTAAAATATAGTAGAACAATAAAAGGTTTTAAAGTCAGGCAGACTTGCATCCAAGCTCTGCTGTTGTTGGGTGCTGTCAAATCCATTCTGACTCATGGTGACCCCATAGGACAGAGTAGAACTGCCCCATAGGGTTTCCTAGGCTGTAATCTTTACCGGAGCAGATTGCTAGGTCTTTCTCCTGCGGAGCAGCTGGATGGACTCAAACCACCAACATTTTGATTAGCAATGGAGTGCTTAACCATTGCACCACCAGAGTGCCTTATCCAAGCTCTAAAATGGAAACAAACCTGTTGCCCCCATCTAGTCAATTCCGACTCATAGCAACCCTATAGGACAGAATAGAACTGCCCCATAGGGTTTCCAAGGAGTGGCTGGTGGATTTGAACTGCCGACCTTTTGGTTAGCAGCTGAACTCTTAACCACTACGCCACCAGGGCTCCATACAAGCTATAAAAACCAAAAAAGAAAAAAAGTGAGACCCGTTGCCATCAAGTCAATTCCAACTCACAGCCACCCTTTAGGACAGAGTAGAACTGCCCCACAGGGTTACCAAGGAGAGGCTGGTGGATTTGAACTGCCAACCTTTTGGTTAGCAGCCGTAACTCTTAACCACTGTGCCACCAGGGCTCCATTTCTTAATATAGGTCATGGGAATATATGGATATTTGTTTTATTATTTTGGTCCACTTATATGAAACAGCTAGAATACGCAAGTGTATGGAGACCAAAGTTTCTTATTGGTTACCAGGGGCAGGCAGGAGGGAGGCGGGAAAGGGGATTCATTGCTTAGGAGATACTGAACTTCTGATAAGAATGATGGAAAAATTTGGAAACAGATAATGGATGGTTGCACAACATGATGAACATAATTAATGTCACTAAATTGTACATATTGTACATATATATTTGTTGTTGTTGCTGTTAGTTGCCATTGAGTCGATTCCAACTCAGGGCGACCCCATGTGTTTGTTACAGAATACCACTACTCTATAGGGTTTTCTTGGCTTCAATCTTAATGGAAGCAGATCACCAGGGTTTTCTTACATGGCACCACTGGGTGGATTTGAACCACCAACTGTTAGGTTAGCAGTCGAGCGCAAATGATTTGTATCACCCAGGGAACTTTCACATATATATTTGCCACAATAAAAATTGTTTTTCTTTAAACTAGATATATGTTATCCACACTCATTTGTATGTATGGAATATTTCACCATTTCAAAATAAAAGCATTCGTAAGTGAGCTGACACTGTGGCAGTCCTAAAGGGATCATCATAAGCAGCCATGGCCAGGGACCTGAGTTTTAGCACCCATACAGGGACACACAATAAGGTCCTGGGCCCCATGGATCACAGAGTTGAAAATGAAGCATAAGGATATTTCATCTAATTGTCATCACTGCCCAGTACCCAAGTTAAAGAACACCAGTTCTTCTGAAGTCCACATGGAACACTTAAAAAAAATTGACTGTATATTAGGCCACAAGTAAATTCTCAACAAACACAAAAAAACCAGCACCATATAAATAATGACTTCTGACAACAATTCACAAATTAGAAATAAATTAAATCAGTGTAATTAAGTACCTGGAATGTATAGGAGAGGACATTTCCACTCAGTCTGTAGAAATCTTTTTCATCTCCACTAAACACCTTTCTGCACTGACCACCAAAACTTTTAGTGTTGATGACTTTGTTCCTAAACGCGCCAGTGAGTGCATTGTAACTGTTAAAAAAAAAAAAAGAAGAAGAAGAAGAAGAAAGGAAGAAAAGGCAGTTAGAAACCAGAAATAGCACTTGCTGGAAAAGACATCGTTAGAGAACATTAGAAATTCTTGAAATGCATTATGGTTAAGCACTTTATTTGAGAGAGCTTGAATAAAGAAAACAGCGTCCTAATGCACACTATACATTATCCAACTTCGCCTGCTTGGTTTAATAGCTAGTACTAATAGCTGGGGAAATCCAACAGTTCTTTCAGCCTAAGAACATATTTAGGAAGCACACAGCCCCGTTGTATCTATGACAACAGCTGGTTTTGAACTGAATCTACAGATAAAACCATACAAATAAGGTTACTCTTGAGGAGAAAAAGCGCCCTGCAACGAATTTCAACTAATTGCTTCTTGGCATACTGACTGGTGCATTTTTAGAGTAATTTTATCCTGTGTCTCTGTTAATAAATTTTAAGATATTACAGAAAAAATTGCATCTAACCAGTGCTTTAAAACGGATTCTTTTAAAGCCTTGGAAACTTTCCTTGGGTCAGATGACCCCTAAATGTTCCTCAGAATTCTTTTTGAAAAGACAAACACAGGATTTTCCCAACTTCACTTGGAAATGAAAGTTTCCAGGTGGTTTGGGCAATCGCTTTTCAGTCTATTACAACACACAATTTCTTTTTTCTCTCTCTCTCTGCTCTCAGTCTCTCTTGTCTCTTCATTAGTGAGAAGCCCTATATTAGTGAATCAGTCTCTTCACTCTCTCCCTCTTTCTCTCTCTCTCTTTCCCTTTACCCCCTGTTACCGATTGAATTGTGTCCCAGAACATGTGTTGGACAAATCCTAACCCCTATATCTGTAGATATAATCCTGTTTGGGAATAGGGTTTTCTTTATTATGTTAATGAGGCTGTATCAGTGTAGCCAAACAAAATCAAACCTGATGTGATTCCGACTCATAGCGACCCTATAGAACAGAGTAGAATTGCCCCATAGGGTTTCCAAGGAGGGGCTGGTAGATTTGAACTGCTGATCTTTTGGTTAGCAGCAGAGCTCTTAACCATTGCACCATCAGGGCTCCATATCAGTGTAGGATGTGTCCTAAACCTAATCACTCCTGAGTTATAAAAAAGAGCAAATTAGGTAGAGGAGTAAGCCCAAATGGGGGAAGATAGGTGCCACATGTAGGTCACCAAGGAACCAAGGAACACCAGGGCTCCAGAAGCTGAGACGAGGATCTTCCCGTAGAAGCAACAGAGAGAGGTCTTCCCCTGTAGCTGGTGCCTTGAATTCAGACTTCTAGCCTCCTAAACTTGGGATAGTGTATTTCTCTTTTTTAAAGATACCCACTTGTGGTATTACAGTTACAACAGCACTAGAAAACTAAGGTACCCCACCAATCCCAAGAGTGACCAAGAGTCCAGGTTTGCCCAGGACTAAGGGGTTTACTGGGATAGGGGACTTTCAGTGCTAAAACCAGGTCAATCCTGGACAACTGGTCAGTCTACATCTTACCACATATGTTTATGTGTGTACATGTTAACATATTAAAAAATTGTATCAGGATGTGGCAAAGAGCTCTGAGCCAATGAAAAGTCTTGGCTATTAGGTGATTTGCTTTCAGACTTACCAAGCCATAATATAAAACAAAGTAAAATGAAAGGCTACATTTTTTAGTGTGTGTAGGAGGCTGTCCAGAACCTTACCCATTTCCAGTTAATTCTACATTTGGAGGAGGTTTATCAATGTCACAGGAAGGTCTGTTTTCTGAGTGGTCACATCTGTCTTCATCAGAACTATCTTCCTCACAGTCAGAATCCCCATTGCAAACCAAAGATCTGCTGATGCACTGACCTGAACACAAGAAAATGAAACAGGGAAGAAGGGAAATACTACAAGGATTAAGAAGGTTCCCCTCCTACCCCCCACCACTGCCCGGTTAGTCTAATTGAACACCTCAGGGTGGCTGGGTGAGGCAGCACACAGAATTGATTCTGACCTTGGTCAGATACAAAATTGAAAATAGAACCTGAATTCAAAATTCCAGGTTCTTCACCCATAATCATCAAGCAGTTTTTCTGAATCCTCCAAAATTGTGCAATGCCACCCACTGGGAAGATGGATTGACCTCCTGCTCTTCAGCTTTCAATTTTTTTCTGTAATCGCTGACTGAGATGCCAAATGACTGCTTTTCTTGGTGATTTAGATTTGTAAGCTTTGAGAGCATGGGAACTGGACCAAAATGTTAAAACTCAACACTTATTTAGCATCTACTCAGTGTAAGGCTTGGCTGCTAACCAAAAAGTCTGCAGTTCGAATACACCAGCCGCTCCTTGGTAACCCTATGGGGCAGTTCTATGGTCACTATGAGTCGGAATCAACTCAACAGCAACGGGTTTGTTTTTTGTTTGTCTGTGTAAGGAACTCTTCTGGATGTCTGGGTAGAAATATGAATAAACATGGTCTCTGTGAGGCTTTTCATTTAATTTACAATCTAGTAGGAAAGACTATGAAGACATAAAACCTGTTGTTGTTGAGTCGGACTCATAGCGACCCTATGGGACAGAGTAGAACTGCCCCCATAGGGTTTCCAAGGCTGTGAATCTTTATAGAAGCAGACTGCTACAACTTTCTCCCATGAAGAAGCTGGTGGATTTGAACCTTTTCGTTAGAAGCCAACTGCTTTAGCCACTATACCACCGGGGCTTCTATGAAGACATACCAAAAACCAAATCAAATCTGTTGCCATTGAGTTGATTCCAATTCATAGCAACCCTATGTGACAGAGCAGAACTGCCCCATCGCATTTCCAAGGAGCAGCTAATGGGTTCAAACCACCAACCTTTTGGTTAGCAGCCGAGTTCTTAACCACTGCGCCACAAGTGCTCCCTATGAAGACATAGACCACTGTAATTCAGCACCATGATTGTTATGATATCCGTAAGCCCAGGGTACCAAGGAAGAACAGAAGGAGGGCACTAGATGATTTGGCCCCTGTCTACCTCCTCAGCAACATCCCCAGCCATTTTCCTCTAAAATCCTATGCCTTAGTCATACTGGGCCACTGGCAGGCTTTCTGTTTTCCCCCTGTGACCTACACTTACAGTTCTTTCTGGTGGAAGGGTTTTCTTTCCATATCTCCTACTTGTCCCTCAAGAATCAAATTAAACATTATCTTCTCACAGTAACCATCCCTACCCCACAGACTAGGGTGCATGTCCTTCTTCTCTGTCTTTATAATACGCTCTGCACATAACAATCATAGCATTCAACCCACTGTACTGTCACTCAATCCAATGCAGCAAACATTTATTAAGAGTCTGCTATGTACCAGGAACTCCAGATTCAAAAATAAAAGAAATATAATCTATGTCTTCAAGGAGTGCATAGTCTACCAGTAGAGACATCCAGGCGAACAAATAGTCCAGATTACATGGTGGTAGAAGGTTCATAAGGAACACAGAGAAGTGAAATGTTAATTAGCTCTTTCAGTTGGGGGTTTAGGGAAGGCTTCCCATAGGAGGCATCATCTGATTTGGATTTGAAAGTAAAGTAGGAGTTTGACAGATATTGATGAGGAGTAGTTCCAACATAGAGATTATTTATTTATATACAATTCTGCCCATAAAACTGTAATATTTTTGAGGGAAGGGACTATGTGTTTCATTTCTATATCCACAACTGTCATCACTGTATCTGGAATATAACAAGGATAATAAATGTTTGCTCGGGTTTGTTGAATTAATCTGACTACATAAATGCAACAGACAATAGATTAAACAATATTCATGCCAAAACTATGTTTCAAACACACTGTAGATAGAGATGACCTGCACTGTTCCTTGATGAGCTAATGATTTGTTTTTCTTGTAAACATAATAATAATTTAAGCAGTGACATTGCTTTTGTTCAATCTCGGTGTTCATACCAAACTCACTCTACATCTTCACCAAAAATGTGACATCAGAAACTGCTGGGTCTGTCAATAATCACAGTTCGATTTAAAGAGGCAAAGCGTAGTCCCACCTCTATTACAAGGTGCCTCTCTCTGCATTTGAATGAATGATAGCTGAATGTGTGATTATTATGCCAACAAAAATCCTGCTGATACCTGGAGAAATTATAGGCCAATATAGCTTAAGTAAAATTCAACAAGTATATATTGAACAAGTTATCAAATAGAATTTGAATTTACAGTCTGCATCCTAAAATTGTGGGAACAAATTACCTGAAAAACACCTGAAACGCTCTCCACATCCCTCTTCTATTGGGCATCCTCGTGTAGGTTCACAGGATTGTGTTTCAAAGGCACTTCCGACGCAAGGTAGGCCCCCATACTGACCATAAACAGCAATTGACCGCCTTCGAGTCTACACACAAAACAGATAGTGCTTTTAGATATTTCCAGTTTCCTTTATCTGAGAGAAATTAATGCAATTGGAGAGACAATGTCTGGGAAATTGTTCTGGTGTTCTGCAGAAATAAAACCTCCAAAATCAATGAACCCACAGACCCACTTGTCCTTGAGTTCAGTGACAGTTGGGTGATTATTTATAGAGAGTTTCCAGCTATATATTTACTTTCAGGGTTGAGTGCAAAAAAAAAAAAAAATTAGAGAATCTTTAAGAAAGTGACCTGAAAGAGTCAAGCTTACCTAGGTAGATATATAAGCCAATAGATTACCATGTAGAACGATTAATATTTTTGCCAAAACTCTGTACCAAGAGCCAATCAGAAAGGTAAAATAAATTATGCCAGAGGGAGGGTAAGAGTCCTGGAAAGTGGGATAGAGATGAAGTGGAGTTAGGGAAATCTGTAGAAATATGATAGCATTTGATTTGAGCTGAACTTTAAGCCTTCTTCACAAAGACAAGACAAGGAAGAGTACTCAGAGGAAATATGCTACTATGGAGATCAAGTTTACAAAACAGAAACCTAAGTAGTCCAAAGATGAAGCTACGAAGCTACATCTACAGTGGAATTTTACCAGACAATCAAAAACATTGAACTGTGAAATGGAATATTAAACAACAACAGTACTGAACTCTGAAATGGGAAATACGCGAAAAACAAGCTTCTGAGGGAAATAGTCGTATTGGAAAACAGAGGAAATGATCAGACCAAGTGAGAAACTTAGAACTAAAATTCATTTAATTTTCATTCAGTATGAAGGCATGTATATAATTAAACAAAAAGAAAAATCTGCCAAATCCTTTTCCTCCCCAAGGCAATCAAAGGTGAGGCTTTTAGGCCTCAGCCTATACTCACCTTTCCCCAACTAATACAAATGAACCAAATCTGAGATTCCAGAGGATTTAAACCTTGAGCGGAAACCAAGGGGAGAGTACATGGTGGCTTTCTTTGTGTGTAAGCAGAGGAGTCATGGAGGAGTGAGTGGGAATGGAACAAAGTACAGTTTCTTGATAAATTTCCAGTTTCTGTTTTTGATTGATGAAGACATCTCTCATATGTGCTTATTAATTTGTCCTTTTCTGAGGTTCAATGTCCTAATACAACAGATTGTGTTGTTTATATAAGTAATGTTTTCCCTTCCCATATTGCCAATGCCCTTGATGGCTGCCCACTCTCAGTAGTTTTATTCCCACCTGTCAAATTCTCATCTCACGACCCTTTTTCATTTTCACTTGTTTCTTTCTGCATAAGAATTTTGTTTTTATAATCTAGGGAGGTGACCATTGTGTCATGACCTTCCACTCAAAGGAAAAAAATAAGAAGAAGAATATAGAAAATGCCCTCTAGCTGTTTCTAGTTAGAGTTCTTTCTTAACTTGTTTTTGAATTATAAAAATTTCTATGTGCTTGGTGTTTGCTTGACTTTCACCTTGTTATTCATGTACCTGTTTGCCTATAATCAGAGTTGTTATCTATTGTATTTGCTAGAAGCCAAATTCTGCATTTGTGTAACTTACTTTGTGAATACCACCTGTGTAGGTACTAAATAAATGCTTGATGAAAATGATGATTATGATGATGCTTCAAAACAGAAATTGTCTTCTACAGTATGGGTCTGTGATTTTAATGATTAAAAGTGATTTTTAACTACACATTTTTATCTGAATTAAACCACTTAAAAAATATTTAACCATTAATAATGTTTGCAATCTTTAAAACAAACATTGTATTTTTAGGAATTTACCCTAGGAAAATTATCAGGAAAAAGGACAGATATCTATGTTCAAAAATGTTCATTAAAGTTTTATTTATAATAATACAAAATGAAAACAACTTAAAATACCCAACAATAGGAAAGTAGATAATAAGTTTGGTCTATTCATATAATAGAATATTATACAGCTGTTAAAATTCATGCTTATCGTATAATGTTAGATTAAAATAGTAGGATAGAAAACTATAAACAAATAATCCTACTTTTAGAAACTGTAGACACACAGAGAGAAAATAAGCTAAAATAATATATACCAAAATGCTGGTATATTGTTTTTTTCTGAATGGTGGCATTATGAGCAGTATTTTCTTACTTAATACTTTTCTATATATTCTCCAGTAAACATTTTATATACAATGATTTAAAAACAGACACTTTTAGAAATACCTAAAATCTCTAGTCAGGTCTGCTATTTCATTTGTATCACTTAGGAACTAAACTTTAAAACATTAAAAAAGTTTAATTTTTCATGGCCATTCACTACTGGTGAAGTAAAGTAAAGCAGCCCATTTAAGCAGCTACTGGTTAGAGTTTGTTTCAAATGAAATGAAAAGTTGAATCCAGCGAGTATGAAACAGATTTTAAATTACCTACTGATTTCATTTCATGCCATTCCTATTTCTTTATTAATTAAAAAGTTATCAAATTGACTTTAACTTTTATCTTATGTACATTTCCAAGCCAAAGATAAGACTTAGAAAAGACTTCAAGAAAAATGAGAATACAGAAATTACTATAATTGCTGTTGTTGTCAGGTGTCGTCGTGTGGGTTCCGACTCACAGAGACCCTACGTACAACAGAAATGAAACACCATCTGATTCTGTGCCACCCTCACAATCATTGCTATAATATATTACATAATATTAATTATTATAATATTTTGTATTATAGTCTATATTATAATATTAACTATTAAACAAGTCATACTTTTCTCCCTTCAAAATTACTAGTACAATTTTTAAGAAACATAAAAATAGCATTCAAAGTCAGTGCTATTTTGGTCATATGTAAGCTAATTCTGTGTATAAATAATCAAATGCAAAGATTTTTCATGGTCTTACCTGAGTCTTGGTACAGCCATTGCATTCTGACCAAGGAGCATAGGAATCCCACTGGCAATTGACTGGAGAGGAGGCACTGTCACAGTGTCAAATCGTCCATCATAAAACAGGCAGAAAGGTAAGAGAAAGGACACCCAAAGAAGAGTCAAAATGGAAGAACATAACCCCCACAATTCTTTCTCTAACAGATACTAAAAGTATCCCAAAATGTGTAAAAATGTAGCAAGCTTACTCATTTTTTTTTGAGATTAATTAACTCAACCAACATTTATTAATAATCTGCCAGGCTATTTAGACACTGGAGTTATAGAAATAAAAAAGAGATAGGTCACTGACTATTGATGGAGACGGAGGACAGGGACACAGATGTGTAAACAAATAACCATAATATAATATATCTAATTTAATAGATTTCACAACAGGAATGTGTACAGTATAAAGTGTTAAGGAAATACAGCTAAGGGAGGGATCGGTAGTCCAGGGGAAAGATGAGAACATATAGGAGGAAGATATTAAGGCCTTTGAAGGGATTCTGTATGATGAGTTGAAGAGTTATCCAGAACTCTCAAGTGAGAAAGAAGAGGCTCTAATTAAAATCCTATGAGGAGATTTCATGGGACATCACAGTTAATTGGCCTAATAACAAGTTCGGTGCTTCTGTTCTACCTCCTAGTTCATTGTGTAGTGCCTGGGGTCTTAAAGCTTGCAAGTGGCCATTCAAGGCATGACAAGTGGTCTCTATTCACCTGGAGCAACAGAGGAAGAAGGAGAATCAGGAATAGGAGAAGGAAATGGAATGTGTGGCTAATTGTCTCCATGAACAACTGCCTCCTTTGCCATGAGACCAGAAGATGGTGCTCAGCTACCATCAGTGAACATTTTGATCAAAGATTCTATAGGAGAATCCTGATCAAAAAGGGGGAAATGCAGAACAGAATTTCAAACTCTAGGGACTCCAGACTTGCTGGATCCATGGAGGCTAGATGAACCCCTGAAACAATTGTCCTGAGATAATCTTTAAACCTCAAAACAAAAATATCCCTTGAAGTCTTCTTAAAATCAAACAATAGTTTAGCTTAACTAGCAAAGAATGTCTGCCTTGAGTATTATGCAATTTTTTTTTATTCTTTTCTTTTTTTTGATTTTTTTTTTTTTAATTGTACTTCAGGTGAAGGCTTACAGAACAAATAGTTTCTCATGAAACAGAAGTACACATGTTGTTTTAGGACATTAGTTAACAACCCCACAACATATCAACCTCTAACTTCTCAACCTTTTTTTTTTTTGGTGAAAATACACATAGCCAAAGATTCACCATATCAAACATTTCTACATACACAGTTCAGTGACATTGACTATGCTCTTCCAATTATGCTGTTATTCTCACTTAAGATGAAGGCTTACAGAACATAATAGTTTCTCATTTAACAGTTACTACAAATGTTGCCCTATGACAATGGTTAACAATCTCACAACACATCAACAATATCCTT